ATAATCAATGTTCAACCTACCCGCCTACTCGAAGTATTATTCCTCTACGAACTTTGCTACATTCTAACACTAGTTCTATAAGACTATAAGGGCACCCGATTTGAGCAGTGACTGATAGGCTGCCGCCAAGTCAAGCGGCTCAGGTCCTCACGACGCCTTGCGCTGTAACGTAAATTTCAGGTATTTTGACATGCGAGCGATGATTAGGCTAAGGCAAGTGAAGACCTCGAGATGAAGGAATGAATGTTGCCTTTACCTGCTGCCTTAGGAGACTATCCTTTACATGCTTGTGCAAGCTGTTTGAGAACCAGTGGTCTGCTAAAGGGCGCCTAATGACGGCTTTTCTTCCCCCAATTAGAGCCTGTGGGTCTTTCCGCATGATATCGCATCTCCACTTTTCAGACGCGATTTCCAGAAGATAGTTCAGCACTCCAAATGAATCTTATACATAAGGCTGAATGTCTGTCTGTCTGCCTGTCTGTATGTCTGTATGTCTGTCCGTACTATATGCGGAATAGAAATTTTTATTTCTGATCCGATTTGGACCAAACTTGGCACACGTATACTTCGAGGCAGGGAGCGTGTCATAGGCTACTTTTCGTTATCGATCGATATCGATTTTATCGATTTTTTGCAAAATTTGAGCTACAGGGCTGGGAGTTGGCACAGGGGATGGGGGGGGGGGGTAACGGAACATGCTGATTACAAATATATTATTGACAGGCCCGGGCGGAGCGGGGTTTGCCAACTAGCTATGAATAATAATAGTTGTCATCACTATGCTTTGGCATGACTCGCGACTTATGCCCTAAAAAGGGAAGCTTGCTAGCCATTCTGTCATATGATGATTTTTATGTGATTGACCGATCGGGGGCATACTTGTACTCAATGTAGAAGTTTTCTTTTGACATCGAATGTTCGAATGAATGTTCTTAAATATTCGAATATTCGAATGACTGTCTTTTGAAATTCCTCGAATATTCGAATATTCGTATAACTGTCTTTTAAAATTCCTCGAATAAACGAATATTCGAATAACTCATTTTTCCAAATTTTCGAATGAACGAATTATTCGAATACAGGCCTTTCTCATTTATTCGACTATTCGAATAATCGAATAATTGGACTTCCTCGAATATTCGATTATTCGAATATTCGAATAGTCGAATATTTCGAATAAATTATTCGAACACGAATATTCGGTTCTAACTATACTGTACGCGTGAAATTAGGGTATCACTTTTCTATGTCGCACATTCAAATGAGACCAAAAAATTTGAACTTTAGTGTCGATAAAAAGAATCAACTCACAAGGGATATCAGATAAAACTTAGAATCGCGTTTCGAGATGAAACACGATTTTAAGTTTTATCTGTCTTATCTAAGCTTCGAATGCTGATACCAAATATGCTGTTCCTAGCTGCGGCATTCATTCTGAAGTGAGTTATCGATTTTCTTCTGTGCAAAATTTGTATACTCTTTGACCTAATGGCGGTATCATCACCTAAGTGCCAAATGACCATAAAATCTCTTGTACAAAAGACTCAAGATACAATTTTAGTGTCCAGCACCGTTTTTAGGCAGATTTCCATCTACAAGCAGCCCTACCATATGGAAAAGTATGCAGTTTCGCGCAGAAAAAGCTCATAACTTCCTTCAGAATAATGCGCCGCAGCTAGGAACAGTATATTTGGAAGAAGCGTTCGGAGCTGATTCCAAATATATGTGTCTGATCTCGAAACGCGATACTAAGTTAGGTGTCATCTCTTGTTCCTAACTGTTATATGCACAATCTGAGTTCTAACGATCGCATTACAATCAATTTCAAGGATTTTCTTGTGAGCATTATTTTGAAGGAACCTACAATTTCTTCCAACGAAAAAGCACATACTTGATGTTTTACAGATTTCCAGCCGAAATCCAAGAATTAGTTTTAACCATATCGTTTCTAAAAATCCTGTACACACCAAAACTGTATGTGAAACTCTCATCTCAGATTGATAAATTACTTGCGATTGAACAAATCTGTAGCAAAAATATGCGCAAGCACTGACAATCATTGAAAAGTAGAAGGATGCATTTATCATACTCTTTCTGCAACTTCGGGTTTTTTTATGGAGTTAGGGTAGGTGCACGGTAGAGGATGCAAATCAAGATTCTGCGTGAAACTTTGCGCATGCGGTTATCGGATGTGCCGACCACAGATATCCTGCTTGTCCCATATGATAAAGTCTTTTTTGAGTAAATTGACTCGAAAAGGGAGAAAATATTTATTGAGCTTGCGAGTTACCATAACTCCACGATAAGACGCTGGAGCGAGCAAGCAATATATTCGCAATCAGCATGCGCCCGAACCATCTGCAAATGAAAAAAACCCGGGCTGAAAGTACTATAAATACTTACAATTGACAAGCAGTTTGAAGATATTATGTCCTTTGAAAATGCCGAATCGTGCAGAAGTATACCTATGAACAAGTAACCAGCGATTTAGTCGTAGCGACTTCATCGCCACTTCACCAGTCCCGACGGCGAAATTGCGTGAGGTATGCCCAACCCTTTATTGTGTGTTCAACATAAAATGTAGATTTATGGTGATAATGTGCAAGTCAATCATGTCGGCATTCTTCTTCATTCAGGTTTTTTCATTCAAAATCACAGCTAAAATTCATTGATTAAAGTCATATCTATTGTGTGCTATTGAAAATTCCAAAAAATTCTAAAAATTTCAACTAAAAATTCCAAAAAATTTTTAAGATTGAAAATCTACGGCTTATTTTGATAGCGAAATGTAAGCAAACCATAGAGACCAAACTATTGCTTGTGGTCCGAAAGTAGCGTTTAGATCTATCCTAAAATTTCTCAAAATAAAGACAAACCAACGCTTCAAACATTGTTTGATGCAGATTTTCATTCTCTTGCTTATTTATCCTATTCCGATTCTACTTGAATTCGCTCGATAATGTTAATTATCCATGAATTTTACCCACCTTTATCTTAGTTATTTTTTAGAAAGGTCATTCATGAATTTTGGAAGAGCTTTGATCACTGTTGGACAGAGTAAAAAAAAATTCAAGGCATCGATTCTGTTGGCATTCACATCTGATTACTCAAAACTTCACGATGATTCGTACGTTATCAAATCCCGTATCTGGTCATCTCCACCTCATGAAACACCAAAAAACGAGCAACTAAGGTTTATTCGAGGCAGACGCTTTCCTCTTTTAGATACGTTTTTTCTTGATTCGTGAATGTTTGAAAAATCAACTTCTAGTTTTTGAATGCACTCTAAACTGTGCACGGAAATGTCGAATCCAATATTTTAAAGCGGTAAGCACTCACTTGCTTAGTTAAATTTGTATTCAATCATAATCGAATTTTAAGTCAGATTCCGAAGGTTTATTGGAGTATGAAGTTAGCGTTTATGTCACAACTTTGCAAAAATGAAGACTTCGAGAAAATTTCCTAAAAAAAGTACTTGCAAGCAGTCGAAGAAACCCAATGAGTTCATTGCTTTGCATTTTGTCCACTCTATCCAAGAAGAACAAAGCTTTTTTAGAGATGAAAAGTTTTCAAAGTGACTGAAATATAGGTGAAAATCATAGGTTGGAGATTTTGACTATTATTCGAACTATTATCAAGGATCTCGGAACAGAAATTCCCTGCTAGAGGAAGAAATTCCGCATAAGGCACAATCCTGAGCATCTGCCTAATATTACTCCGAACGATTCGAGAATAGGTCTAAAACATACAAGAACTTTCGAGACCATTACTAGAATAAGTCTCACATGGTTCACACTCTTCCTCGCTTCCATTTACAGAACGAGACAACGAAGAGGTTATCATGCGCAGCAAATGTGCAAAGTTTTTGCCAAAACCTTTCATCCGTTATTACGTCAGTTCAAATCAAGCAGTAAGTAGCGCATAACTTCTTTACGAATTTACTTATCGTAGGTCAGATCATTGAAGTTCAGAAAATGCTTCAAACCATAAAATTACCCATAAAAGAGTAATCTTGTCTCTTCTTGCTTTACTAAGTCCAAACTTTGCTGAGAATTTGAAATGAAGATGGATGTGACCAAAACAAGAGATCAAGGATTTGGCTTTGACTTTTGAGCAAATCTTAAAAACATTTTGTACCGCTAAGTTCTCACAGGCACACAATTTTCTCCATCCTTACTGAGAACAAAACATTTTCGTAGACTTCGTGACTACCAATGCGATTTACAAACCCTTGCAGATTACGCTATAAGGGCGTGAAATTGCAGTTTTTGAGGACCAGTTTGAAAATGCTGGAAATTATCTTACAAGGGAAGGATATTAACTTAGAATCGCCTTTTAAGATAAGACACATATATTTGGAATTAGCTTTGAACGCTGATTCCAAATATGCTGTGCCCAGCTGCTTAGCGCTATTCCGAAGCGAGTTATGGGCTTGCTATTGTGAGTAATCAACAAATTTCTGAGTATCATAAGACGGCGTGTAGGTTAGAATCTGCTCGAAAAAAGTGCTAGGATGTTAAACTAGCAACAGATTAATTCTTTCGATCTTGAAAGGGAGCATTATACAAGCAAAACCACCTAGACGTTGACACCGTAGCATCAGTAGGTCGAGAAGCACGCAAATTTTGCATAGAAAAGAGACCATAACTCGCTTCAGAATAAGGCTAAGCAGCTAGTAATGGCATATTTGGAATCAGCGTCTCAAGCTGATACCAAACGCATGTGTATAATCCCAAAAGGCGAATCTAAGTAAGTATCCTTCCCTTGTTAGTACTTCCGTAGATTCACACAAAAATCTTAGAATTCAAACTCTAAACTCATTTTGAGGAAGAATGCTTTTTTGCTTTCTATGTTACAATCAACGTTTGAAAAATGATGCACTTCTGAACGCATGTGTATAGCAGTGCAAGTTCAATCAAAAGACGAATAACACACTTGAAATGACAATTAATGCAACTGCAAAGGTAATGAGAAGCTCGAAAACGAGAGAAGAGAATCTACTGGTTTTAGAGCCATAGCTAGTGGAGCAAGACGTTCTTTTCGAAATGAATACAACGACTTCGATTCATAGAGCAACATTATACCTATTTCCAGCGATAATGGAAATTGAAGAAGAATCATAGTAGATACATCACGAGAATTAGGGAAACTTCGGAATGTTCTTTTATATGTTTTATTCAGATTCGTCAGACTGTTTTCAGTTAATGTTCTTCCTGGTTCCGCTTACGTCTTCCTTCGTGCTTTGTTCTACAGCCTGCTTGGGTTTTTTCGGCATCAGATTTGCCGTCAGCATCTTTTCTAATTTTATGATAGGTACTTCGAAGAGGCAGCTCCAAAAGAAAGCGAACACATATGATACAACAACTGTTGGTATACCCCAATGCACATACTGAAAGTAACGAATTAAAAGAGCCGTGTTGTCTTTAGCTCCTACCGTGCGCCATATTGAAACAAAATGTGATGGTCGATCATCTAAGTTGAAGATATACGAGATTAAGAAAAAGTGTGCAATATAACCGCAGTAAGAGAGCCTGCCCAATGGTTGCCACAACGGATGATCCATGAAGTCGGCAATAATTCCTACAATATCAATTATAAAACATTGCAAAACAGTTCTTTTATATCCAAACCTCCCCATCCCAGATGATTTGCGATAACGACCCAAGCTACTGCTAATGACCAACCGAATCTCGAAAAATTGTTATAAGTTCCACTTACTGCATTGCTGAAATGAAGTCAAAAATTGAACGTTGAACGGCGGAGTTCGATTGTGATCACCAACAGAGAGGTGTGCGCCGAGAGCGAAAACATGGATAAATGAGGCAACCTTCACAAATTGTAACTCTATCCATATCACATGGGCAGCGACTATCTAGGAATAACTAACCTAATTTCACGCGTACAAGGCGCACCTTTTTCGATCTTTCAAACGTGCCGCTCAGCCGCCTTGTTGTGCTTCGGAAAACGAAACTTATGCCGCACGATACTCTCAGGCAATATACAGCGCCGTCTATAGTTTTTTCTTCGCGAAGTTTTTGGGTTTGGGCTGGTCGATTTGCGAAAAAAAAATCTCCCACGCCTTGTACGCGTGAAATTAGGGTACAATTTTGAAGTCGGTGGGCGCTTGCAATTATGCACCTCCAATAATCCGCTCCTTTTATATATTGGTGTGGGCCGTACAGCGATGCCAATGCAATTGCTGCAGCTAATACCCAGAGAGACACAATCAGTATCTGCAATATGCGTCTCAAAAATTTTTTTCTTATCCACTGACTTTACCTTGTTTAGTTTCGGTTTCTTCCCCGAAGCGAGGAAGTATCCCACTGCAATTCCAATTAGGTACGGCGTACAGCGACTCCAAGGCTTTTGATAGTATAGATTAAAAAAGTCCATCATCTTTCTAAAAGCTGGGCAATGTCTCTCACGATGTAATGGTAATAATTACCACTCACAAACCAAAAGTAGTCATATCATTCATTGCAAAAGCTCCCATCATAATTGCAGGAAAATCATAATGGATAGTGAGGTAGTAGACATATGCTATGCTAGCAGCAATACATAAGCAAATAAATGCATAACCTGAAACATACCTTATTTTGAGTTTTGCTTGTAAATCATACCTGCAATCCACGAGAAGTAAAATATGATGAGAAAGATTGGTCCAACAAAATAAAGTTGGGTGTCAACCGCCAGATACCAAGTTATGCCGTAACAATTCTGGAGAAAAAAGAGTGCAAAAACATAGTAGCAGCGTGAAAACATACTTGAGTCATGTCAAAAAAGTTGTTGATATAGAAGAGATTATGCCACCAGTACTTTTCACATGGTTGGTACATTGAGGTTTGCATGCCCACTGCTGACTGAGCCCAAGGCCCGTTGATGAGTGGGCTCAGAGTTACAAAAAGCCATATAAACATCATTATAGGTGGTGTTAATCTGAAAAATAAGATGACGCCCAATATAAGTGAAAATTTTTTGTCTTCATTTTTGGACCGCCAGAGCCTGGCATGAGGTTGACAACATTTGCCTCAGACAAATAATCCATGAGTGCAGGGTCCCGCAACGACTCTGCTTCTCTATCTTGCACTCGTACTCGCCCAAGCCTAGCGTAAGATTCGGGCCACTTGGGGGCGATTTGTAGACTTTGTAGACCCCCCTTACGCGCTGCACATTTCTGCCTCGCTTAGTTAGGGGGTCTACTATTACATTACTACCAGAGCCAGGTAACCCCGTCTGGTGGGACGCTGCCTTCAATATGAGATAATTGCAATTGACTAGAATGGAAGATGTTTTCCGAAGAAGAATATTGAGCGAATAAAGCTTTCAAAGTCATGAGAACGACTGAGTTATACTCGTTAAGACAACTACAGGGTGTCCGTAAAGTATGTATACACTGTTTGATCGTTAATATCTCTTTTCCCAAGAAGTCTTACGCGTTGCTTCAGGCACCATTTTGTAGAGCTTGCTTCAACTTAGATTTACAGTATAAAGCGAATCACCGATCTCTATTCATCACTGTAGGATTACGGTGGTAACCTCAAAGAGGGTTTTGAGCCATGAAAGGCCATATTTTGCTTCAGAAAGGAAACAAGACAGACTGAAAACTTTCATACTAGGCTAATCAGAGTTGCTGATTCTAACTGTAAAGTTCTCAACTCATTATGATGCTTCATTGAAGAGTTATGCCAAATAAGAGGTAGCGGCCTTTTTTTCAATGTTCCTAAAAAGTGCGGTTACACCGTTTAGAAAGCCTCGCAATCTTGTGAATAATTGAGTGTTGAACTCAGCGTCCATAAAAACACTATTGCACAAGTTTTCACATTTTTTTGAAAAATTTTGAAACGGCAGCTCTTTCCACATTGACACCATATGTTTCAAGTTTCTACCGTAATCCTACAGTAATGAAGAGGGAGGGTGATTCGTTCTATACTGCAAATCTAAATTGAAGCCAGCTCTACAAAATGGTGCCTGAAGCAAGGCGTAAGACTTTTTGGGAAAAGAGATATTAACGATCAAACAGTGTATACATACTTTACGGAACCCTGTATATGCATTCACAACAAAATATAAACCATTTTAAGCTTTTCTCGTTCCAGCGTGCGGTATGGGAAAGTCATCACAAATATTTAGCTTTGGCACATAGATAAAAAAGGAAGATAGCAAGCAAGAGACGGCAAAATCCCGGAACTAAACTTATTGCAAATGGTGTTTACAGTAATCTACCATGAATTAGACAGCTAACTTACAATCGTTAGCTGTTGTTGTTGTTTTGAGTTCCACTGGGAGAGAGGAGGTTTTGATACTCACGCTGGCATCATTAGAGTGCAAGTGCCAGGGTTGGGGAAAAAGCTAACAATAAGTATACACTCTTCACATGAGCCTTCCCATACATCACACATCGTTTTATCAATCACTAGCTTGCTTACCCGGCTCCGCTCGGGCCTGTCAAAACACTGTAATAAAGGTCCCATCCCTATCCCTGCACAGCCTTTCCCTGTGCCTATTTCCCGTTCCCTGTGTTGTTTTCGAAATCAGCATGCCCACTTACCCCCTGTGCCCCCAGCCCTGTAGCTCAAACTTTGCAAAAAATCGATAAAATCGATAAAAGTAATGGACGATTTTGAAAACTAATGTTGTATTCGTAATCAGCATGCTCGATTATCCCCCTGTGCCAACTCCCAGCCCCGTAGCTCAAACTTTGTAAAAAACCGATAAAAACCGATAAAATCGATATCGATCGATAACGAAAAGTAGCCTATGACACCCTCTCTGTCCCGAAGTGTATGTGTGCCAAGTTTGGTTCGTATCGATTCAGAAATAAAAATTTCTTTTCCGCACATACGTACATACATACATACATACATACATACACACATTCAGCTTTATATATAAGATTGTGCATATACCATAGCAAAGTCGTTGCTTGAAAGCCAAAATAAGTCCTTTTCAGTTTTTAAAAGTAAGTTTTGAGAAGAAAATCTGTCACACCCTCCAGCACATAATTTTTCACAACTTGTTGCACTAGTTTTGTCCCTGCCATCGAGGTTTTTTACAATAAACTGCAGAAAAATGACTTCAGTGAAGCCTTGAGCAATTGTGCTCGAGCACTCAAGCACGTTCGCCACGAAAGTGCACACATTCGAAAATATTAGTGCATATGAGCGTTCAAAACGTTGAGCTAGTAATTGTTTTACGGGAAAATGCAAAATGCAGACCCCGTTTAGAATACCCATAAGACGATTTTCAACATTTACTACCGTCATGCCAGCCCCTCTTATTGCTATTATCTTGTGTGCTTTCTTTCTATGCTATTAGAGAGAGCGCGATCCTTAGCGGTTTTCTCTCCATAAAAGTCTCAGAGGCATTAAACTGCGTATTCATTTGCGTTCTAGATAACTTTAAAAGAACATTCAGACTCTGCGCCAAAAAAGCTGTCCTTTCCCAGCTTGAGAGCAAGTAATCTAGCAAAAAAAATAGATTGAGCTTGCAACTGAGCATGGACTACACTACGATTAAATTTGCGTTGCCTAAAATTTTTTGAAGCAAACCATGTATACTTGTTAAAAGTGCTCAAAAAAAGTTTGTCAATGTTTGTGCTTTTTTTCTCATTGTTGTTTCTAGAGCTAAAGCATTTAGAGTGACTGAGTATGGAAAATTTACCTGCAAACCAAATGACGATTACTAGTAATAAAAACAATTGAAACAATCAAATATTTTTCTTTACGATTGTTCAGCGCATTATAGTGCCAAAAATCAGTGGTAATGCTTTTTACAATGAGCTGATTCAGGCCTTCAACTGCACCTTTCACAGCTGCTAAATTCTAGACAAGATTATATGAGATTATTAGCATGAATGACCTGTGAAAACGCGGCTTCCAAATGAATGAGGTATGCTTCAGACCAAATCACTGCTACAAAGTAAACTTGTTTTGAAAATATATGTGAGGTAGAAAGGAATTTTCTGTAAAAGAATATATATATAGCTATAATGGAAGACATAAGCAACACCAGATGTAAGTAATTACTTATATGCCAATATTTTGCACTTACTATAGACAGGAAAAGCCATTCGTACCTGACATAGCGATGTACGTAGTACATAATCCACACCATAGGATTTTTGACATATGCAGCAGTAGGCTTGGATTTGAAAAACAGGTAGGATACCAATATGCCGGAGAGCACAAAAAACGTGTCTACGGAAAAGAACGCATTTACGATTGTAGTTGATAGAAAAGGATTGAATACTTCCAGTACAGGTCCATATGTATCTGAATTGCAGCGGTCAAAACTTTTCTGTCTACAATTCGCAAAAAAAAGACGCACCGCTGATCATGACATCCATGAGCACATGTCCTGCCACGACCCATGTCATTGAGACAAATCGGATTGAGGCTAACGACTTTATAGTTCCCTTTTTATAAGGGCTTACGTTCATCAACTCCGCCCCATTAGTATATATTGAGTAGGCAAGAAACACTCGAGTGCCTCAAATCATCTGCACATTTGATACAAGCTTAGCTAGTTTGTTAGGCACTGTCGAAATTAGAGGGTGCGGCAAAAGTCTGGGAGCCTAGTACTTTCTCGTACAAAACGAGAAGGGAAGTACCTAGAAACGAAAAAATTGGCGCACACATAATTCGAACCATTGCAGATACAGCCCAGTTCTTGAATTGCAAAACTGCCTCTTTTGGCTTCCACGCAGCACTACAAAATATTGGCAGGTCCACCTGTCATGGCACGCAGGTAGTCGTAATGGAATTCGCCCCACGCCTTCACAATAACTGCTTCTTTTACCTTGGCAAATGTGCAGCACGATAGAGCAACTTTTATCTATTGAGTGGTCAGAAAAATAATGTCGTCGTTTTTACTTTGCTTGCTTTAACAAAGCAAACAGAGTCAATCCTACAAGAGATAAGGGGGATTGTTCGATAGAGCAAAGCTAGCTCTACAAGATGGCGTCCATAATTTTGCGATAAGCTCGATCCACGAAAAGTTTGAACTCAAAATCTAAAGACTTCCAAATGCTCAAAAAATCGAAAAAACTCAGATCTTTATCCAAATAATTCATACGGACCTCCCAATCACATACTTCAAAGCATTCGATACCAGACACCCATACGTGACCGCTAAAAAGTTGCGGACAAGCCTCCTCCCTTTTTCATCGCTCTTTTCCAGAGGGAAAATAAGGATAAAAAATGTAATAATTGCATTAGGTGATAGAGCTCTTCAAGATCTACAATCTACACTTTGAGTTTTTTTTTTGAGAAACATGTGCACTAAAAATTTTAAGAATCTTTTTCTAAAAAAAGTCCGAAAATGGCCGCGTCACAATGTAGCGGACAAGAATTCTACGAACGCAAAAATTTTCTTTTGAGTCCTATTTTAAAGCGGAAACACAAGCTATCCGGACGGGTAAACATACTACTATACAGAGCTCGTCAAGAGCTACACACTAGTTATGGTCGCTTCCCCAAAAAACGCAAGCTTGAGTTTTATTTATTTATTTATTTATTTATTTATTGATACACTGTTGTGCACAGTGCGCCAGTACTAAGACACGAACGCAACGACAGACAAAAACAGTAATGAAACGAAATTGTAACATGCTCAACACCCTAGAGAAATTGAGGAGAGTAATTCTCTAAACTAGGTGCTCGTCAGTGTTGTCTTCAAAGTCAGAAAGTCAGTGTCGTGGGGACTAAACCTGGTATAAGTACAAGTCCAAGCTTGAGTTTTATTTTACTTTTTTCAAAAACAACTTCTAATTTCCTTTACCAAGCCAAATTTCTTCACACGGAAACCTGTTCAATCCCAACAAAGCCGTCTGCATAAAATCAATGCTTTTTGCCATCCTCTATGCATCGGACGTGTGCTGATGAGTTTCTTGGCTGAAAATGGCCCTTGGCAGTTCTTGCACATGACCCCACCTGCACCTCACCACTAACTTGTACCGCTTTGCAGACTTGTAACTCGGCCTGCAGTCAATATTTGAGCCTGCAATTAGGCTCGTTCGAAAGAACGAGACTTCTTCTGCACGATAGTATGCAAATAGGTTCAATTTGAGCTATCCCGGAGATTTGGCGGATGGGGTGTTAGAGGGCAGCTAGCTTCAATTGTAGTCTAAGCACTTTTCAGCTAAAGATAAAGAGAGCTCCTTTTGCTACCAATTTCGTCGTGGAAGTTTAAAACTGTAAATTTTCTTGTAATAGGTCCATTTCGAAGCTCTAAGACTGTTTATAAGAGCATTCACTCCAGTCACTTCTAAGGCTGCACTTTTTCACCCCATCCGCCAAATCTCTGAAATTTCTCAAACACAACTCATTTCCATATCATCGTGTCCAGGAACTCAAGCTCTTTCGAATGAGTCTATCTGCAAACTCTTATAGTGTCTGGCGGCCGAGTTACAAGCCTGAAAAGCGGTACAAGTCAGTGGTGAGGTGCAGGTGGGGTGCTGCTGCTGCTGCTGGAATAAAAATAATAGAATGGAATAATTGCTTAGGAATAAAAATATTGGATTTTTAATTATCAGCATGTGTACGTCACATGCCGGAATTATGGCTACAACTGCGCAAATAAAAACTCAGAATTATCTTTTAAAAAGAATAAAAGTGTTCCCATGGCCGAATATCAACAGATTCTAATTTAGAAGAGGTATGCAAAATTACAGCCTTGGTTCCAGTGCCTGTTGAGCATTCTATAGCTTTTAAATTTGTTCTGAAGACGGATTTCCACTGGCACGTAACATTCGCAAATTTTATTTCCCGTTTATGCAAGAACAGCTCCTGGCAAAATCAAAACTAGGATACAATAGCGCAGAGCCTATTCTATGTTGTGAAGTTCTGTAAAAAATTAACAGCATCTCTAGCGACAGCAAAAATTGTAAATATTAAAAAATCTGGTTTTTTCGCTTTGCAAAAGTACTACCCTATTTTCAGGTGTATAAGCCGCACCCTTTTCGCTCCAAAGCGAACACGCCAAAAGACTGACTGTCATCATGGAGAGCGTTAAGTGAGAGCAGCATGCGATAAGGCGACCGCTTTGCGGCACATATGCGCGGCGGCACGCCTAGGTTTGCTCGCGTTCAAAGCAAAAAGGGTGCGGCTTATACACCTGAAAATAGGGTAATTTGGTAATTTCCATTCTTACAAAAACATATGGCAGCCATTTCCAGCCAAATAAATTGTATTCTGTAGAGGATGACCGCAGCATCATGTGGCATAAAACTGAAATCAAAAATACCAGTGCCTTTGTAATTGCAATACTGCAAAGTTAGGCTCTCAGACTTTTGCCGCACCCTGTATAATTGTCCTCCCCATTGTGTCTTTTTCTGCCATTTAAGTACCGTTCTGCAGATGAGGCTTCACCTTAGATTTTCAGTCTTCTTGAGCGAATCACAGATCCTTTTCATTACTGTAGGATTAGTGTTGGAACTTCGACAAGGATTTCAGGCCATTGGAAGCCGTATTCTGCCTCAGAACAAAACCAAACAAGCCAAAAACTCTTATCCTATGATTATGGAAGCAGCTGATTTCGAATATGAAATTTCCACTTTACTATGATGCTTCTTTTTGAAGTTATCCTAGGTAAGCCGTAATGACCGAATTCCCGGTACTTGTCAGAAATGTGATTACATCATCAAAAGACTGAAAACACTCGTAAAAAGTTGTGTAGTAGAATCAGCGTGCGCGAAAACCCTAGTACACGATTTTCAAATTTTATTGAAAAAAATTGTTAGGTGGCATATTTCACAATGGTTCCACATGCTGGAAGTTCTTACCGTAATCCTACACTAACAAAGAATGATCGGTGATTCCTTCTACACTGCAAATAGTTGAAGCCTCCTCTACCGAATATTACTTGGCTCACGAAAAAGACCCATTGGTAAGAGAGATATTGACGATTAGAGTGTGTACTTACTTTTGGGCACCCCTGTATAAATCACTAATTCACCTCTGCTTCGCAGAGGCTCGCACGTTTTACTATCTTTACGCCTTACTCATTCTTTCGCTATAATGACACTGAATTTCACCGCGCAGTGTTGACTATTACAAATAAGTCGTAAACATCATCTACTCATTTGAGAAGAGAGCTTTTTCATGTGAGATTGGCAACTGGGATGAAACTTCTTGCAGAAAATCAAACGCAAACTTGAATCGGTTTTGGAGCTTTTTATGGCATGTAGTCGTTATAATAACAGCCACCATGAACTATGTCTCTGTGCGAAAATCTTCCCAAATGCTAAGCTAAAACCTTGACGAATTGACCACTTACGCAACCAATCCTTTTTTGCCATTTTCATAAAGCAGTAGACTTTCGACCATTTTTTGGGCGTAGCTTGCACATTCACTTGACAAACGAATTGATGTCTTTGCAAAAAGTAATACTACGGACCTATTTTTGCTAACCAGAAGTCGAGTAAATCCGTTTGACGCACAATTTCTGAGTAATCCATTCATCGGATTCGCTCGTGCTTTATCATGGAGGACTTTCACGCCGATAGCATGCGCTATGCAAAAATTGGGTCAGAACGTTTGAAACATGCTCTCCGTATTTTGTAACAGACGGACACGCAAACACAAAAGCAGGCAAAAAATTCTTAGCGGGTTATTGTAAGGTCATGATTGTAATTATTGTTTTTTTAGACAAAATTCATCGTGAAGCTAGGAATATTTCGTCTTTGTTTGAGATTACCATCTACTCAGCGATCTCGCACGCAAAAAGAAAAGAAATATACACAACCTGATTCTGCTGCGGCATAGATGACTTGAAGTACACAGCTGCCAGATGTCCTTCTCACATTCCATGAGTTGCGTCCCAGTACCGCCTACCATACTTACCTTACCATTATACAGGAGTTGTAAGCGCAAGAGCTTTCACGCAACATGAGGGTCACCCTCAAGGATTCACACAGCGCACGACAGCAGGTTAGTCGCGCTCGAATTCTATGCCCCACAAAAATCCCTGTGCTAAAGATGCACGGCGGCAGACTAAGGGGGGGTGGGGGGTGGGGGAGGGAGGGAGGGAGGGATGTGTAACCCAATGTCATGAGTGAGACTGCAACAAAAGTGGGATGCAAGCTGGCTTCTGAGATGGTGAAAGTTGTGTATGTGAGTCGTGACTCGTTTCTTAGCAGGTCTCCAAATAATGAGCCTTGAGGCAGGATTTTCAGGAAGATCCAAATGTTTCACGTCTGTCCCTATGAACGAGATTTTTTGTGCACTTTTTCTCGCCTACATGTGTTGCCTGGGTCCCAGAGAGGTTCCCTTAGCTACTCTTGATTGCACAACAATTTGCCGCCTTTTTCAGCTAACTTCAAGTTAGCGCCGAGGTGCCCTATATGAGCTTTTTGAACCTTTACTGAACATTGCCTTCAAACACTCACAGCGTCAAGCGATAAAGCTGCCATGTCTCAACCCTCGCGAAAGGGGTCGATACACATCATGGATTGTTTGACTGGCGTACAGACTTACATTCTTGGGAGTGTAAACGGGAGGATACGCCGAAGTGGAAGAGAATGGTGAGTCAAATTATGCTATTTTGAAAATGATCAAAGAAGAGTATACTAGCTAGTGTGATATCTCTATCGGTTTGATTTGGTAGCACAATGTTATGTCGCCTGTAAGTAAAAGACTATTTTATTTGTCTTACCTGTGCCATGCACCCTGTCTTTGTAGTAGGTATCCAGAATATAGTCGGTAACACTAGCAAGGACTGCCCAGATCGCAAAAAAGGCTATAACGCAGCTGAAAGCATTCATTTCAAATAAATCGACTGTGAAGGTAGATTTACTTTCAAATCCTTCGGTCAGTGATTTGGTGTAAGCTATAACCATTTCCACTGCGAACATTACAAATGTTTCAAAAAATAAAAATGTTAGTTCCGCGGTCTGAACGTACATTGAAGCGAAAATGGAGCAATGATCAAGCTAGAAACGCACTACAGGCGTCTAATCCGTCAGGAAATACACATTTATGTACTTATCGCAAGATCCATGTAGTAGGAGGCCGCGCGGAAATCTTAGAGGCAGGATTTCAAGAAAAAAAGCAAAGAAGGGCAGATATGCTATGCAGCATATGAGTGACCATTCAGACAAACGCATTCTTCAAAAACATGCTGATATGCAGTTGACATTCTACTGCGTTCTTTCACAAAGCGCGCGCAAACTAAGTGCAAGGCTAAACTAAACAGGCTTGTTTAAAGCGGACAGAAAAGCACGTGACGATTGGAACAGTAACAGGATTGTGTTGATTCAATTGTTGAGCCAGTCCGAGATTGGTATATATATTTATTAAGCTGACTTTCGGCTATGTCGCCTTCTTCAGAGCCTGAAATGGGCGACAACAATCTATAAACTATCCGACCAAGTATCTCCTCAGCCTCACAAACAAAATTCTAAGCTTTCTTTCGAATCACAGGCAAGCTGCCACACGCAATACTCACCTTTTCGATCGCCGGTAAAATTCTCTAGTATAAAAGAGCGCTCACTGATAACGTAAGTGAATGATTGAACATGTCTTCCTGATTTAGATATGGTGCGAGCTCGCGTGTGATAGAGATGCATTCATTTTTGCGATTTATTTTGGGTTGTTTGAAATGAATCCAAAACGCTTTTAAAGTCTTGCGGGTAGATGTTTGAGGTTCACGCGCTAAGTTCTCTACATTTGCTTCAAAATTCACTCCTTCATGCTCTTGCACTCTATGGGCGCCCAATGGAGTGTATAAGCGTGATTTTTCCTTGCCATTGAGATGTTCCTTGATGCGTACGCATAAGGGACGTGCTGTTTCACCGATATACTCGGCTCCGCAGTTTTTGCATGAGATGAGGTAGACAACTCCCGCACTCATGCAGTCGCCATCCTTTGCTGTGGGACATACTAGACAGTTTGACGTAGTGCAATTACGGTCGTACATGCGATTCCGAACAAGAATGCGTTTCAAATTGTTCGGAGGCATGTCCACTACCAAAACTGAGTTGTTCAACCCTGCTCTCCTCAGAAATCGCCGAATGGCACTTCATCGGAAATGAAGGATACAGAAAGGTATCTTCTCTGCTGCGGGTGACGCTCTCCTTTCTACAGAGCTGCTTTGTTGGGCCCTACAATGCGTCATCCTGTTTTCATAACCGTTAGATAAACCTATCTTACGTGCACAGCCAACGACTCCATCTTTAAATCTTTAATTCATCGACTCTGTAAGTACTGGGCAGGTTGGCAGATCAATTCTAAGACGGGTGGCTTTATGGCTAAAACTGAAAGACAAGTGCTGCAGTTGCGTCCCTTGCTTTACTGCAGATACATCGATGACTGTTTCATCATATGTGCCAAAGCGGAGGTTGATGAATGCTTTAAGTTGATGAACAGGCAATCGGAACATATATGACTTACTCGGGAAAAGCCTACTAACGGATGGTTGCCTTTCTTAAACGTACAAGTCAATATCAATGATGGCAATCAGAAAACGAAGTGGTATCGAAAGTCCAGTAACAAGAACATCCCCATCCACTCCCGCTCAGCGCATCCTCTACAGACTAAAAAAGCAGTGATCAAAAACATGTTTCGTACAGCTGCAAATTTGTGTAGTGGACGAGAGGAGAAGATGGAATCGTTGGCCATTGCGCGTAAGATAGCTTTATTCAACGGTTATGAAAACAGGATGACGCATTGTAGAGCCCAACAAAGCAGCTTTGTAGAAAGGAGAGTCACCCGCAGCAGAGAAGATACCTTTCTGTATCCTCCACCTCCGATGAAGTGAGCACCGCCATTCGGCGATGTCTGAGGAGAGCAGGGTTGAACAACTCAGTTTTGGTAGTGGACATGCCTCCGAACAATTTGAAACGCATTCTTGTTCGGAATCGCATGTACGACCGTAATTACACTACGTCAAACTGTCTAGTATGTCCCATAGCAAAGGACGGCGACTGCATGAGCGCGGGAGTTGTCTACCTCATCTCATGCAAGGACTGCGGAGCCGAGTATATCGGTGCAACAGCACGTCCCTTATGCGTACGCATCAAGGAACATCTCAATGGCAAGGAAAAATCACGCTTATCCACTCTACTGGGCGCCCATAGAGTGCAAGAGCATGAAGGAGTGAATTTGAAGTAAATGTAGAGATCGCGCGTGGACCTCAAACATCCACCCGAAAAACTTTAGAAGGGTTTTGGATTCATTTCAAACAACCCAAAATGAATCGAAAAGATGAATGCCTCTCTATCACACGCGAGCTCGCACCATATCTAGATCAGATTTTCTGATCCGGTGAATACATGTTCAATCATTCACTTACGTTATCAGTGAGCGCTCGTTCATGCTCGAGAATTTTACCGGCGACCGAAAAGGTGAGTATTGCGTGTGGCAGCTTGCCCATGATTCGAAAGAAAGCTTAGGATTTTGTTTGTGAGGCTGAGGAGATGCTTGGTCGGATAGTTTATAAATTGTTGTCGCCCATTTCAGGCTCTGAAGAAGGCGACATAGCCGAAACGTCAGCCTAATAAATATATTTACCGATCTCGGACTGGCTCAACAATTAGATCAACACAATATTCATCATGCCGAGATTTTTGAACATAAACAACCGTCTCGGCAGTTCCAGCCTGGAAAGATTTCTGGAGCAGTCGTTTGTAACTTCTTCGGTGTTTAAGAGTACAGATTGTCTGCAACATCGTGTATCAAAACATTCAAACTGCTGAACGTAGAAGTTCTAAAAACCCTGCAAATCTAAATTTTTATGGAAAAAGGGGCGTCAACAGTTTTGATTACGCGAATACCATTGGGAAAAAATTTTGAACATTTTTGAAGAATCGTTTGTGTCAAGGTGGTTTGTGGCTCCACGATGTGGATGTTCCCTTGCACACCCATACCCAATCAAAGTTATTTCTGTCAGGAAAAGAGCTTTGAAAAAACTTTGCTGTGCTGATTTTGTGATAGAGCGTCAGGACCTGACTATGTTGATGGTTTATCTCTCCAGCGTAATCGTTAATTCTCAGAGTAAAATTTTGCGAGTTATCTGCGTTAGCATCAACAAGAGATATGACGGATATTTTCAGAAATAAGGGAAATTTTAAGGCACGATTACTGGTGAAGCAAGGCAAAGTCTCTACGAACGCACTAATAACCGATCAAAGGTGCATGCATGTCACTCTGTGTGTGCCCGTCTGTTACGAATTTCGTAAGGCAAGTTCCAGCCAAGATCTTGATAGAATTTGGTTACAGCACTCCAGGCACAAAAGATCCAATATGCGGAATTTTCGAAAACTCTGCAACGAATGAAACCATGCGGCTTTTAGCCTACAGAAAGTGGGTCTATATCTAGATTTTTTGAAAAGATGACTTGCCTAGCATATGCGTCTTCAGTTCATTGACTTTCCTTATAAATTAACCAAAAGCCATAGTTTTTTTGCAAAAAACGGAGGTAATAAAGTATGGTTGCGTAAACTGCGGATCTCTAAAGATTTTACTTAATGAAAAGATTTCTGCTTATAGATGCATCAATGTCGTAATTATCATCACGGCAACTATCCAGCCGTGATAAATCAGACATCCAAAGCAACCTCCTAGTAAAGTTACCCATTGTACAAGGAAAAGACTTTGTGATGGGTAGTTATTTGCATTTTTTGATGGCAAGCATTGCGCGGTGTTTTAAGGCTATCACTATGTGAAAACGAGGAAGACACGCCCATACAAGGCCCGGCACGAGTCCGTTTCTCGGCTTTTTGAAAACTAAGTCACGAAGTCCCCTTTGAACCTTGTTCTACCTTCCCCTCCACACTCCATTGTTGGTGGATCCCCGCATACCCACTTAGGGCCGCATGCACTAACCTCCCCGCTGGGGAGGGGATCGTAGCTTAAAAAGAAAGCAGTTCGAAACTCCAGATACCTGGATTTCACGTTGTGTACCTATCCGTAAGTATTCCTACTACCCTTCGCTATGAACATGTTGAAGAGGAGCGAGAAGCTGTACGAACCGCATTTTCCAGCTTATGTATGATCCCTGATGATCCCCGGCGCTTTTCTTTAAAGTCATTTTTCTTTCTCCAAAGTCAAAGAAAACCTTCCAAGGTTGTACCGAACATCTAACACAACAGTGCTAAGCATGTTGCTGATGAGAACGAATGAGTTTTTGAAAAGTCGAATTTTTCGGTAAACCTCAAATTTCGACTTGCGGATCATCAAAAATTTCATGACTTCAAAACATCATTTGTTCTCACCAGCAACATGCTTAGCACTATTGTGCTAGATGTTCAGTACAACTTTGGAAGGTTTTCATTAACTTCGGAAAAAGAAAAATGACTTTGAAGAAAAGCGCCGGGGATCGTCAGGGATCATACGAGAGCTGGAAAATGCGGTTCGTACAGCTTCTCGCTCCTCTTCAACATGTTCATAGTGAAGGGTAGTAGGAATACTTACGGATAGGTACACTACGTGAAATCCAGGTATTTGGAGTTTCAAAATATAAAGCTTTATTTTAAGCTGCGATCCCCTCCCCGCGGAGATGTTAGTGCATGCGCCCGTGGGGAGGGGATTGCAGCTCAAAAGAAAGCCTCATATTCTGAAGCTCCAGATATCTGGATTTCACGTCGTGTACGTAACCGTAAGTATTCCTACTATTTTTCACTATGAACACATTGAGCAGCAGCGAGAAGCTGTACAAGCCGCAGTTAGCATTTGTATGATCCCTGATGATCCCTGGCGCTTTTCTTTGAATTCATTTTCCCCCAAAGATAACGAAAAGCTTCCAAAGCTGTGCAGATTATCTAACCAACACTGCTTATCATGTTGCTGATAAGAACAAGTGATGTATCGGAGTCATGAAATTTACGATGAACCACAAGTTGAAAGTTGTGGTTTACCGAAAAATTCGATTTTTTAAAAACTCATTTGTTCTCATCAGTAACATGCTTACAAGGAAGGTGTTTTTGACCGAAGTGACCTTTTCAAATGAAATTGATACGACTATAAAGAGCATCAAACGCTGATTCCAAATCTGTCTTCGTTACCTGCCGAGCGCCTTAATTCGTCGAGTTATGAATATTTTTTTGATGCGAAAAATGAACGCATAGTCTAAGTAAAATAAAATTTTACGGTCTTCTCAGCGCTCAAATAGAGCAGTGTTAAGTATGAATGCTTCGGATAAAAGATATTGCTTAAATAAAGTGCTTTGATAATCAACATTGAACCATTTGAGCAATTCTCACGAATATTGTCCTAAATATGCATTTAATTTCTCAACTCAAAAAACGCTCATAACTCGACGTCTAGGGGCGCTCGGCAGATAATGATGACAGATTTGGAATCAGCGTTTGATGCTCTTTATAGTCGTGTCAATTTCATTCGAAAAGGCCACTTCGACCGAAAACACCTCCCTTGTTAGCACTGTTGTGTTAGATAGATAGTGCAACTTTGAAAAGTTTTCGTTAACTTCGAAAAAAGAAAAATGACTTTGAAAAAAGGGCCGGGGATTATCAGGGATTATATAAAAGCTGGGATATGCGGCTTGTACAGCTTCTCGCTCCTGTTCAATACGTTCATAGTGAAGAAAAGTAGGAATACTTGCGGATAGGAAGACAGCGTAAAATCTAGATATCTGGTGCTTCAGAATATGAAGCTTTCTTCTGAGCTGCGATCCCCCCCCCCCGGCGGGGATGTTAGTGCATGCGGCCTTTAGTCCTTGAGAAAATCATTTAGTTGCTGCGAGCTGAAAATCTCGCGATTTCAGGTCAAACTCTCAAAGAAAAATCGCAATTCCACAGAATTTTGCTTCATGAAGCCTTACATGGTCAAAGAACAGATCAAGTTAGCACGAGCAGAAAAAAGAAGAAAGAAGAATGAAAGAAACCATCAAAATATTGAAAAAAAGCTGGAACTGAAAATGAAATCAAAAGGGAGAGAACGCAGAAAAGTTGACCAGGGGGAAGAAACCGGGAACAAGAAGAATTTACTAGTCTGAAAGAAAAAACGTAAGGTAAGAGTGGAATTGGAGCTGAATACTACGCATCACAAGAGTTTGGCATTAGAGCGCGATATTTAACAGGCGATTTATGAAGAAATTAAGGCAAAAAACCAAGTAAATTTAGTAATGTGAAAATTTTCATGCTCAGGGATAGACTTTTGACCGGAGAATCCGTCCATGACAGAAAAATCAAAACTTATGTGAAATGACAGGAATGTATGCTCCGGACAATCTCAGATCGTCTGGTGACTCTGGAGACGGACTAATTTTGAAGAAGGTAATACTTCAAATAAGTTTTCGAATCTATTTGCATGATTTTTTTGCAAAAAAATTTCTATGTATACAGTCCAATTTTGGTGTCATATGATTCTGTGTGCGCTGTAAACAAACAATTTGTTTATTTTAGCCTTGCTTTCAAATTGCGCGCACTTTTCGCCGTACACGACAGAGCATGTCAATCGTGTGATAACCTGTCCGAAAAGCTTGCGTTTTCGGCCCAGAGCCCGGCACGCGTTGGCTTGGACATTTTTGGAAACGAAGTCCCCCATGATTTCGAGAGTCTCTCTTGACATAAAAATCAGCAGGGAACCCCATTCCCTGATTTAAGGATGAACCTATTAAACCTCCACGTCATAGCATTGTTTTTCGTACTCTCTCGCTATAGGCCGTCCGCGCTGCGCACGGACAGCAACGCTGTTGCGTCCATCGAAGACGGTCTATGGCTGGAAGAAGAGCAGAGAAAACAGTTGGCGAGAGAGCACGGGAAAGAGGAGTGACGCGCAACACACACCTTGCGCACACTCCACGCCCTGCGCGGACGGCCTATATCAAAAACCGCCACGCATTGAGTTGGCAAAACTCCGCCTCTACGCGAATCGTGGAGTAGATGATATCTAATATAACAAAAATTTAATACAACAAAAAAGCAGAAAGATAAGATTTCGACTATATTAGAGGCCCTGCCAATGGGTATGGCACCATTTTAGTGCTTACAATGTCGAAAACCTCCTAAGCCAACCAAATCTGTGGCATCAACATCTGGAGTTGCATTTCTCGTCACATAGTTCAAAGGACACCGCATGTGATTGGAGCGAGATATCTACCAATGCGTACGTTTACACTATTTTTGGCTCAAAAAAGTTGAGAGGCAATGGTTTGATTCGCTGTCTTCACTGCGTGATAGATTTTTGACCGTTCTAATCGTTCAAATCGAAAAGGTTTGAAACTTATGTGAACTTTCTGATATTTATGCTCCGAACCAACCCAGTTGGTTTGGTGTTGGTCTAGAAAACAACAAATTCGGGAATGGATATTTGGACACATAAGTTTTTGGAACGTTTTACATAACATAGTTTGAAGCATCATTGTATACACACTGCCCAGATTCGGAGCCATGTGTGTGTTTGAGTGTCGCTGTGAACAACCCATGTGTTTGTTTGAGTCTTGCGTTTGAAATTTGCGCGCTCGCGAAGGGACACGTTCAACTCATAAAACCTGACATGTTTGTCGTATCTTTGTTACTTTCGTTAGTTTTTAGAGCGTTTATGTATTAGGTCATTCCGAAAGTAATGTCTCTATTTTTAAATGAACGCCACAGTTCGTGGAATGAAAATTTCTAAGAGTTCTTGGTTGCATTCGATGCAGCACTTCATCCTATTTCTAATGATTGTAAAATCTTTGCAACAGTTTTAGTGAACTCTCGGAAAATAAGCAAAATCCGCGACCCATGCTTTTTGAGATGGCCAAGTTTCGCAACTTTTCTCACCTTTTATTTCAATCTTCCGAAAGAGTCCGTGTAACGATTCGATAGAGCAAACCTTAGAGGACACAACACACCTTTTTTCTCTTTTCCAGATCCCGCCATGATTTTTCAAGCGATTTTTTAACAAAGGCATTGGATTTTGGCAGGCCTACGTCAGCCACAATCACATCAAAAGTCAATAATTTTTCGGAATTTGAAGCTTCCCAAACGGTACCATAATTTAACACTAATTTTACAAAGCAAGTGAAAAGTTGCAGGTTCAAAATATCAAATTTCGAACTTTTCGCGCACAGCCTTGGGCACATTCAAAAACACGAGTTATGATGATTTTGTACCCGAAGACTCTACTAATCGGAAGCAGTAAACGCCCGTTAGAAAGAGAAGAAAAAGCTGCATCGAATAGCACCCGAGCTGCTCTCCCTTCGATGTTGTGCAAGATTTTACTTGACCAAATATGGAATTTGGTAGCATCTGTTAAAATTCTTTTAGAAGAGTACGACAAGCTGTAGAGAGAAGAAAAAAATTGTTTTGTATTCTGTTAGGTTTGCTCTATCGAATCGTTACTCTGTCTCCTTCGGAGGACTGAAACAAAAACTGAGAAAATTTGCGAAACTTGAGCATCTCAAAAAGTATGGTTTTGGTTATTTTCCGAGAGTTCACTGAAACTGCTGCAAAGATTTTATAACCGTTGGAAAGAGGATGAAATGCTGCATCGAATGCCACCAGGAACTCTCAAAAACCTTTATTCCAGGAACTGTGGCGTTCATTTGAAAAAAGCGACATTACTTTCGGAACGACCTAATATTTTGCAAGTATGCAAACATGAAGACTTTTGGAAAAGTTATTTCAAAAAATACTAAAAAGCCAGCTGGAGAATGCCGAAAATTGCTTTGCATTGCACTTTAGTTACGGTGACTGCTATCGAAGCTCTTCCAAAAGTTCGAAATGCAGGGAAAACTGTCAAAATTGGACATGGGAAAAACTATGGGTTAGAAATTTCGGCGATTATCTTAGTGATCACAGAGTAACCAGCGCGGAAGCATTATCGTTAAAAAGAAAGGGAAAGCTGCGTGGGATAGTGTCTAAACCGTTTGCCTACCTTTATTTCATGAGTTTTATGACAGACCGAAAAACGGAAAGAACTTTCCGGAACTACCTAATATAGCTGATCCTTGTCATATACTGTGAAGAAAGCTTTCACATCTAATAAATTGTTTTTTGATTTGGATTCAAGAAACTTATTGAAGAGGCAATAAAGCTTACATGAATACCCAAAAATTCGCGGAGTATGTGTTTTTTGATGGTACACAATTTGTGTTAATAGTAAAGTTGACTGGCACATACTGTTGTACATCATAGCGCTCCAAGATCTTAGTGATATCCTGAACGATAGCTAAATACTATTAATAATTTGCTTCGCTTCATCTTTTACCGTTTCAGTGCAGCTTCTTGGCATGCATACAGCAATTTTTGGACCAATTTGCCCCATTGGAGGTCCTTCCTGTCGTGCGGGTTTATGAAGATTCAGTTATGCATTCTGACAACTGGTTGCATACCATTACTACACTGGCAGCCACATAACAGTACTGCACCTTGTATGGTGCCACTACATCCATGCATTCCGAGTACGATCCGGTGTTGATTATCGTGTAGTCCATTATTCCTGCCGGAATCTTGCCAAAAGCATCAATTTCTAAACAAGCAAACTCGAGAATCCAATGGATGCTTTGTAAGCCATTTGGTTTTCTTCACAGAAACCTATATTAGAAAACCTAGACAAAGAATTCGCTATTTCAAAGTTTTCGATTAACACATTTTGTGCGTAATGTCCATGAAACTTACGTTTTACAGCAAAAATGTGCTCGTCGAGTGCTGTCTGCTGGACTTTGGTACATCCTCCAGTTCGCTGACATGCCACGAAGGTCTGCGCATATGTGTTCAAACTCGATGTGAACACATTGACGTCTGTCAGACATTGCTCCGATACATCCGTTAAGTTCAGTATCTCTGACGGATCGATGGGACGAACTGGGAAGGGGAATGGAAATTGCTAAATTGTTGAGATCAGAGTCTCTTTGTTTCTTAAGCAAAATAATTTACAAAGGCATGCTTTTTAACAACAACCATATTCTGAGGGTTGTTATCAACGAGTTCGTGTCAAGCCGGTATTTAATCGGTTTTATGTCTCATATCTTTTTGGCCGCTGTATTTTACTGGTTTAGGACGAACATTGGTACTTTTCCGTTATACTGGCACATTTTTTTCAAAAGGCACTCATAAATTACGTTCTCTAGCCTGAGAACAATTTGTAGATTCTACGAGACTGCCTCCCCGCCACGTGTCAGGAAAAAATTGGCACGTTTTAGTACATTTTGAGTTGTTTTTTTTTCTTTCGAAATCATTTCCGACGAGGTAAAAGAGCGTTTATGACCACTTAAAAGCTTTTCAATTGTTTTCTACAAGAGCAAAACTATCTAGAACTTATCCTATCTTTATCTTGATTGCTTTCAGCAATAATTCAAAATCATCTTTTTTTTCTTCAAAAGTTCCGCCATGCGAATTTAGTCAGGAGAGACTAAAAATGGTGGTTTACAGCATCTCGCTGCTGCTTGTTTCGCCACTTGGATAATGGACTCCTAGCGCAATTCTTCATTCTGAGCAAGTCTAATCTGTTCAATGATACAAATGACGTTATTATTATGATAGTGTTCATTTCTGAAATTGTTTAGTCGAAAATAGGGTCATTATTGACTAAAATACAGATTGAACTATTTGCTAGGTAGTGCAGAACAAAACCCTGATAAAACCTGTTGAATAGATACAGACATATACCTTGACACATGGAAGGAGGAAACTCCTTGCTGTGAATTTGCGACCAAAGATGGCACAAGATCAAGAGAAATATCCTTCTTTGAAAGGTCTGGATAAATGGAAAAGTACCCGAAAATTCTTACGTAATTCGAAGAAAATGCATTAGCTTTTTGAATCAGAAAGATAGATTCACCATTTTGCTTTCTAAATAACAGATTCTTCGCGCTCTATGTCAGGTGTTCAGGGAAACTCTCCATAGGGAAGCCACTGAGAAGGAAACTTCTAAGAATGGTGTTTGAATTTTGAGATTTTGGGGAGCCAGGAAATTGTAGAGAGCGTTATCTAGCTCAAAAAATCTGCAATTTACAGCGGTTAATCGCAGAGCACTGTAGCATACTATGATCTCGCATTTATACAAGAAATTTCGTGAAAAACCTGATCTTATCAATCCCTCTGCATAATGACATTTTTCAGTATTTTTGGTTTTTGCATTCTCATGCGAGATTGAAGTTTGTCTAAAGTATGAACTAATGCTGTGCTGGAAATTTTTATAGACTTTCCAGGACTAGTTCGCAGCTTTTCAGCAGCGATATAGTTCCAAGCTCAGAATCAGAAAACTGGAGATCCCAAATTTAAAAGCTTCGTTCTCAATGTCAAATTGCAAGATATTGAGCTTGAACTAACACAAAGCTCTAGCTTTCCTTACATATTTTTAGAAAGCAAAATCGTTTAGTTTTAATTCAAGTATGCTTAATCTTTTCGAATCATAAGACCGCGCCAACCTAGTACTGGATTGAAGCGAAAGTTCTGTCACATCAAGGAACCGTAACTTTTTTTCCTATTACGACTTTCAGAGCAAGTCAACCAATTTTATTGAAGTCTTGTTTACCCTCTATTTACCTCTATGCGGAATTAAAAATGGAAAAAGAAGACTTTGAGGTTTTATGATATAAGGAAGCCCGTTAATCTTGAAGTGTGCATCGAAATCCGGAAGTTTTAGGAGATTTTTCTATCCTTGTCTTTTTAGCTGAGCAAAGTTCGTGACGAATGAGATCTTTGTTGAAATCATGAATTTCGAGAAAATCAATTTAAAAAAATTGATTTTACCAATTTGTGTTGGTTTCTCGGAAATCATAATTTCTCAAAGGAAAGGTCGATCATAACAAACTTTGCTCATCTAAAAGAGGAAGGTGAACTTACTTCTTGATTGGTTCAGAATTGTCCAGTTTTTAGATTTTCAACTGGATTGCCCCAAATCAACTTTAGAATTTCTCCTTCTTCCATTTCTCTCTGTAGCAATTTCATAGAGTTTACTCAAAATGTTATTGAAGTGCATGGTGCTTTTTTCAATAAAATCAAATGTACGCAAGAATATCGTGATGGAGAAAATTAATTTAACTGTAATTTTAGAAAGTTTACGACAGAACTTGATACAACCTAAGATTGCACCAAGCATCTTGAGATTTCAGTTTTAAAAAAAATTAACTGCAGAAAATTTTCTGAGATATGAAAGAAAGGTCTTACTCCGAGCAAAGCGTAGAAGGGTTGCGTAATTCCCGCAAAAATTAGAGTATGGAATAGTAGCATAGTGTTTGCCATAATGTTTCACAAGTGACTGTATACTTTCTTGATAACATGGCACTAGCATTCCAAAGATAACCTGTAAATAGCGAAATCTCGCATTTTAATCTCTTTATCAATCTGAAATGTAAAAAAAAACACTATGGGAGAGAATACTATAAAAACACAGACATCTTAGATAGATATGAAAGTCCCAAATTTGTTTCTTTGACGCAAAAATTGTACAGCTCTAATCTTAGCAAGTCCTGCGCTAAGCTGTATCCGGACTAGTGGACCAGTAATCAAAGGTGCTAGATTTGCATTTGCGCGCTTCGGGACCACACCGCGGTTTTCCGCTTTTTGATGTTTTGAACTGACGTCACGATTCTTTATAAATTAGATTCAGCATGCGTAGAAAAGATGCTTGGATTGCCTTATGTCGCATTATAGAATAAAATTTCACTGCGAACTTTGCAGTGTCAAAATGGCTTCACTATGGCTCGGATCTCCCAAATTTTGAGCGCAGTATTGAAAGTAAGAATCTGCTTTAATAGAAGAGGAAAGATTTGTGAAGCGACGTGAGAAACGGGCTAAACTTAGGCCGGAAGCTTTGTTTCTACGAGTTGAGCACTTTTTCGTCCTAACCCGCATTCTTTTAAGACTGAAATCTCCATATTTTTAGTTTTCCTGATTTTGTGCTAGAGATACTTGCCTGTTAGTCCTATGGAAAAATCAACATGTAGTCGCGGTTGTTAGCTAGCGGTTTATGTGACTTAAGAATGTTTCGGCTGATTTTTACACGAGGTCAGAATAAGTATGAATCTTCATAACTCAGCTATAACACAACACATTTCTTTGATATTCGGATGGTTGTGCCACCCATCTGATGGAAGCCTGAATGAATGTTGGCTCCAACTACGATCCTATCCCCAATCATCTCGTCTCAACCTTGCTTCTATCTGTGTGTTAACGACAACTCTGCTCAACTCCAAATAAAGTTGTTTTGAAAGAAGTTATAACTAAATCCCGCAAATCCAGCGAATCCCGACAATCCCGCGAATCCCGCAAATCCCGCAATTTTGGCTGAATTCCACCGCTACAACTGTAGGAAGACGTGAATTAGTTGCGCATATGAATAGCTGAATTTTTATGCTTAGATAGAGAGTGAGATCAGTAGGCGATCAGAAATGGTAATATTATTGATAATACGATTAATAAAAGCATAATTTCGCATCTAACTTTAGGTGTTGCAAAAACAACAGAACTATGTTGAACAAATAGATAAGATGGTTTTTTTCTCAGCACGTGCTGTTTAGATTGACGCTTCCGTTAAATGATGTTAGATATACACACGACACTTAAGAAGAGGAGAACCTTACTTCAAGAAACAATTCTGGATACCGCAAGGTTTGATTGTATATAACTAACAAGGGAATGGTCAGAAGTCGAAGTGGCCAATCTATACAAGCTGCATACCATTTGATGCAGCATAGAACGCTGATTTCAAATCTTTCTTCCATATCTGCAGAGCACCTTGTAGGGAAAGTTATGAGCAGTTTTACCGCGATAAAAACCGTATACAAAAATTGCGAAATTAGGCACATCATTGCTCTTTCAGCTCACCTTTAGGCACGGGTCATATGAGCTGAACCAGTTGCATGTTTTTTGTCCAACGCTGAGCCGAGAATGGCTTTGTACAGCCAAGTTTGCCCTTTACACGCACAATTTCTTAGCAAGATAATGGCCTTCTACGGCCTATAATTTCGTCCACAAAAGCGCTCTGCTGATGAGGAAGACAGATTTAAAGTCAGCATTTTATACTGCATCTAATGGTATGCAGCTTTATGATTGGCCACTTCGACTTCTGATCATTCCCTTATAAGAAAAATAGCAATTGGCCGATATGCTAACTAAATGAGTTAAATTTTACTAGAGAAAGATCACAACGTGGTTGAAAGAGGCTTTTAAATTGATGGAAACTCTTTTGCAACTCAATTTTCAACATTATTGAAATCATATTATACCAGCGCATCACGTCTGCGTCACTGAGGTTCGCACTGGCTCTCCTATCCATACGCCTTTCCCGAGCACGATCGTGCTTGCATAATGATGATTCTGAAACTCACCGCGCGATGCTGAACATCAGAAAAGAATCGTAAGCAACTGCTTATTTTTGCGAGCTTCTTCATGTAAGATTGGTGATTTTGAGAAAAAAACCATTCTGCAGAGGAAACAAATGAGATAAACGAGTCACTAAATTTATTTTGCCTTGTAGTCGCCGGCAATAATCACCCTGAGCTACATTTTGTGCAGAAATCTTTTCAGTTTTCATGTAAAACCTTGAAGAAATCGTCTGTCTGCGAGCATTTTTTGGCGCTGTTTTCGCACTTAAACAAATTTCTTGAGCATTTGTTGACATGAAATTCATGCCTCGCATCTACTTGTCAGTAAAATGCATGATCGAATTAGTTTTGCGTGCCAAAAGCCGCGTGGACCCTGTTCCCGCGCAAATTTTATAGGATCGCTCATCAACCGGTTTTCTTCTGCATGGACCTGCAAAATTTAGCTCTGATAGCTTGGCTGTAGTTCCCCCTATGAATTCCATGACAGATAGACATACGCACGCTCAAAACATTGTTTAGTATCTAAATTTTTTGGTATCTAAAAAGGGTCATGTGAAAAGTACGCTCTGGTCAGTGATCTCCAAAATCAAAGGGCGCCTTTGGCGAAGATGCAAGAATAAGGTTTGGAATCTT